TGTTCACCATGTAAGAACTTGTTCATTATGCTTCAGAAGATTGGAGACTGTTGAGAATTAGGCTTGGGGTTGATTAATGATTGTGCATTGAGTCCCCTATACAGAATTTTATTGTTGTTAACAACCATTTGATCAATAAATATGAGAGATGCCCTCTCAAAAAAAATACTGAAGTATTTTTAATAGTAATGAAAAGTTAGAATAGTGCTGATATAACTATATTAAAATATACATCACAAAGAAAGGTTTGGTCTTTCAAAAGCTAAATACTAACTTTGATACAGTTTTCCAAATACCTGAAATTCTTTTGCAATCAAAGAAAATTTTCCATTTAAATAGAACACAAACCTGTGACACTAACATAGGTAAATAAAAAATACCAAAATTAAAAGGGAAACCTGCTGGGAAAAAAGGAGGTAGAAGGTAAGGAAAATCTGGGTTAGAATATCAGGAAAAGTGTTCCATGAAATTGCTTTAGTCATTTTGGAGCCAGTCTGGGCAAAAAATTATAGTGGAAATGGCAGGAACCTCTTTGCAGAACCTCCTTAATAATTCATGATCAGATTAATCTATCTTGGCATGCTTACTCATCTGAAAAAAGATTTATTAGAAGAAAATTCCTTTTGAGCTGACAGAGAGTCACTTGGCGTCTCCAGAAGAGAAATTACATATGGCAGTGTCTATAGATAATATACTGATATGTGAAACCAGAGTGACTTACTTTAAGAAAATATGAAATGTCCAAGTTTATATGACAAATTGGGAGCTGATCACATTCAAATCTCCTGTATTCAAATGTCTGTAAATGCAACATACTTCACAGCACTGAAGGAAGACTCCATTCCTTAAGCCTCTTTAATAGGCGTCCGAATGACTTCTCTAGTCTCATCTCCCACTACCTGTGACATGAATTCATGGCTGCAGCCTGCTGATTTTCAAAGGAGAGGATTTGCCCTCTTCCCGCAGCCTTACCCAAACTGCAGGGCATGTAAATATCACATGAAGTTTGACCCAACTTTGTGGGGTGCCACATCTCTGCCCCAAGGGTCTCCTTCCCTCTTATCTCTCTGGCAAACTGCTGTAGGGAATCCCCGCCCCGGCTGGATTAGCAGATCTTCCAGAGAGCTGGGGAGGAAAAACAGTTGCCCAAACCTTCTCTTGTCCCTTGTCCCTAAACATTTCTTGTGCATTTTGTCCCAACTTTTTCCTCTTCTTTTGTTCTGCCAAATCCTGCCAAGGCTCCAGCCGTCCTTCATCTGTGTCCTCTGGATGCCACCCTGGAGCACCACCACCCAGAGAGGCTTCCGTCTCCATACCTCTTGTGCGTGTCTTACCATGGCCTACAAGTGCTTGAGAATCTTCCTGTCTGTATCCATTCAAGCATCTCTCCCTCTTGAGAGGGAAAGAAGGGAGAAGAATAAGGACAGTGAAAACAAAGGTGACAGTGATGAATGTGATATGAATGACAACAGTGGTAATGACAATAGCAGCTACCATGCAGTGAGGGTTTATTGCTGCCCCATTTTGGGGTGGCAGTGCCATATTTAGTCTCTCAACTTGCTCTTTCAATGAGGCCCAGCACTTAATGGTGTTCCCATTGATTTTCATAATAAACGCACATCTTAAGTCTCATTTTATTCATGAAGAAGCAAAGACTCAGAAAAGTGAAGTCACTTATTCCAGGTCACACAGCCAGTAGTGATGCAGCTGGGAATTGAACACAGGTCTACCTGACTTCATGCATGTGCTTCTTCTACTATTCCCTGATTCCTCATTATGGCCCTGGGGATCTGGGAAGAATACAGGAAGGGAAGGTGACATCCATTTGTGGCAAACAGAAGCCAGTCCTGGATTTACTACTTGGCTGAATGTGCTGCTCATTCTAAATTCACAGCTTACAGACAGTGAGCGAATGATGGATCTACAAGTTCCTCGGTTCTCAGTTCTATCCCCCTTCCCACATCTATATCTATAAAGCCTTAGACTGGGGAATAGTATTCTTTTCAAGATCCTGAGGAAGCTGAGGGCTGGGTAAGAAGAACTCTGGGAGGCAGATCTCTTTGCTGAACAAGTGACCTTTGGGATTCCTTTAACTTCTCTGCTCTCATAAAATGAGGAATGTGGATGTACTGGCTTCAAAGGTCTCTGATATTCCCTAGAGTTCTGTGGCAGTGCCCTGGGAACCATTCATTCGGTGCTGATCAGCTCTGCCAAGACAGCTGACCTGAGCTCCTCTATGGCCCTGGGACTCCTGGCTCAACACAGATGCAGGATTTAGATGTAGTTCCCTCTGTTGTTCCTTGGGGCTGAAGGGGAGCTGGTTACCTCTCCATGGGAGAACCTCTGATATGCCGTCTCTCCTCAGACTTATCAGTCTCTGGTCATTACAATGCTTTTTGTCACAAACCCAAGTTCTAACATCTGTTCATACATATACTGCCTAGTAATTCTGAGTTACAAACACAAAGTGATTAATTTTGTCACTCAGGCATTAAAAAAAAACTGATGTATTTAATGGTCCTATGCCTGCCACTTTACTTGAGAATTACTCAGGCAAGGGCCAGGCAGGGCGGGAGAGAGATGCTCGCCGCTGGCAGGCATGGACACCACCCTCCCCACTGATGTGGGCGTCAGAAAGAGGAAACCAACACTTCTTTTTGAATACTAACACACCATGCTTTGTTAGCTGCTTTTATGTGTCTTTTTTTTTTTAAATCTGATCAACCTTTCAAAGTTAGGATTATTATCTCCTTTTTGCAGGTAAGGCAGTGGAAGTTCGGGGACATTAAATAACCAGCCTAAGGCCATAGGTAACTTAAGAGCTGTGGGGTAAACTTGCTTCTGCCAAGCTCCCAAATTCCTGATTTTCCTGCTATTCCAGATGTCTTTTCAGGGTAAGTACCCAGGGCTGACTTATCCTTCAGGCCAGTTGACACAGTGCTGAAGGTCCCCAGAAATATTTTAATTTTAGTTTCTTTTACATTCAGAAGGAAGAAATGAACATAGTGATAATTAATAGGTAACACTGAATCCAGCTTGTATCTTTATACCAATGCAGCTGTAAAATATAACTTTTAGTACTTTGTAATAGAGGAAAGAGCTCATCAGGTGAAATTACCTAGGAGCCACAGAAGTCATAATGGGTCCCTGCACAAAGCCTCTGTTTTCAACACTGACCTCCTCTCCCTTGAGGATAGGCCACCTGATAGAAGGATATGCCTGGGAAATGCTGAATCAATGTTCCCAAAGCTGCAGCTCCATTCCATTTTCCCCCTTTTTAGTTGAGATGCAGATTTGATATTTAATAAATAGCTATTTGCCCCTTGTTCAGGTGCACCAAGGGCTTGGGGGAGAGGTTTTCTGGGAAGATGGGCCATCAGGAATACTCCACCGTGAAGGAGTCGCCTGAAGTCCTATTAAAGCAGATGGCCCAAACACACAGGAAATCTAAGTTGAAGCAGAGACAAACAGAGATGTTGGCATTCACTATCATTATGACTCAAAAATATACACGTGGGCCCGTCAGGTTGAATGAGGTTTATGCCTGGGGCATGCACTATCTAAAGGAAAAACAATTTTGAGATTTTAAGGAAGAAAAGAGCTTGTCTTGTTAATGACTTTACGCTCCCACTCCTGAGGCCGGAAGCTCAGACAGGCTATTATCAGGTAAAATGTTCCTTACCTGAAAGACGACTCTTGAGCTTCATTTTACTGCTGCCCTGTTTGGGACTTTCCAGGTTCCCCTTGGATTCCTCGAGGCCACACAAATCTTGGGGCTCATCTGTCCCAGGCATCTGAAATGCAGACAGCCCAGACATGATGGGAGAGGCTGATCAGTAACCTCAAGCCTTGAGAAACAGAAGTACAGGTGTCATGTGAGAAAGAAAGTTCACAGGTTCAAAAACACAGCCCTTCAGAGAACTTGGAACCATCAGCCTCTGGCCAGCCAGTGCCTCCTCAGCTCACTTCTTACCCACAGCATGGAAGCAGGAGGTTTCAAAGTGGAGATGGCCCCAGGGGCCATGTCAGTTCTTGAGGAAACTTGTTGGTCAAGGCCATCCAGGTGATTACAAAGGCATGACTAGAGCCCAGGTCTCCTGATCTGTGGGATAATGCTTTTTCCTACAGTGCAAGTTGCAACAAATATTTGACCAGAAATTTAAACTCAATTCTTAGATTCTCAAAAAACAGTAATGATTTTGTGATAGCTAAATAACTACAGCCCTCGGCTCAGCCTTATGTCCCATGTGCTACACTCCTGAGTACCGATTACCCCTCCCAGGAGCAGGCATTGCCCAGGTTACAGGCAGGCATCCACGTAAAGCTGGCCCACACATCTGTAAGTGTAGGTGTTCGCCACCAGGCCCCAAGAGGTCCTGCAGAAAGGATGATTCCAACATCTAGCTGTAGGATCCTCCAGCTGAGAAAAGCCAAACTTGCTAAAGAAACAAAACAAAACAAAAAACTATGTTTAGCAGAGAGGGAATGAAGCTTATGCACTTGGGAGTATTTATAAAAAATGTGTGTGAGTGTGTGTGTGTGTGTGTGTGTGTGTGTAAATTTACATGGATGCCTGCATGTAACCTGGGCAATGCCTACTCCTGGGAGGGGTAATCAGTACCCAGGAGTGTAGCACATAGGACATGTACAAAACTTATAAAGTCCATCAAACAATGAGCCTTCCCATTTGAAATTTTTCTTTTCCTTTGAGGTTCCAAAGGTAAAAAAGTCATATTAATTAAAATAGTTATGATTCACGTGAAGGAACATATATGGACTTTTTAAGACAAGACATGATATCCTTTAACACTTAGTCATTGGAAAGAGGCATAATTGTAATATAAAAAGAATAACCTCTGAATTTTAACAGATAATAAAAATTATAAAGTGTACATTAAATTCAGAATATGAAAACATATAAACTAGGGAGAGTAATCTCTCAGGTAAGCTCCCCTTCTAAGAGGTAATTGTTTATATAAAAATCTTATATGTAATGTAAGATTTGGAAGATTCCCCCACTCCTCAAGATAAAATATCTTTCTGTGAGAGAAAGAGGTTAAAAAAATGGTCTGAGAAATGAGGAGTTGTAGGAAAACTGAGAAAGGGGCATTGGGAAAACAAATTAATCATGATACATTAAACAAAGATAAATTTGGTGAATTCTTATTACAGTGTCAGGGATTGGCAGGTCTCCAGGTTTAAATTATGAAGTCAAGGCAAGAATGGAATCCTGAGGGTGATTTTAGAGATTCTCTAGAGGGATGCCTCTCCCAACCCCAAACCATGACATTTAATTCATAGACAGGGCCCAAGAATGCTCTTGGAGACATGCCAGAGATCTGAGCAGAAGCCACAGGCAAATAGGAACAATCCGGAGGGAAGTCTCAGGGCCACTCCTTTGCTTGGATTAAAAACATGATAAGAACTTGTCTCCAGACTGTAAACAGCAGTTACCAGAGCCTGAGTTGAGTTCCTGGTTCTTCCTTTCCCACCACCTGACCTAGGCTATCAGCCTCTGGACAAACGTATTCCTGGTCTGCAATCATTGCCTGGTGCCCACTGGGTGGGTGGCTTATTACACAGTGGCCAGGGCCCAAACCATTAGAAAGGTTGTTTGAGAAGCTCATATCAAGGGAGGAAAATAACCACAGCCTACCGTTTCTGGGCTTACCCAGTTTCCTCTTTCCATTTTCCACTCATTTTTTCCAGCACAGCCCCAGGTTCTCAGACAATCAGAAATTTTGAGATGACAACATAAGCACTCATAGGAGCAACACTAAGGGAAGCGGCCTGCCAGAGGTTTCTCACCTCACTACAGGCAAGGTGGCGACCTAATTCTGTCTGCTGATTTCCAGTTTCATGTATTACTAGGATTTTCCCTTCTCCATGCTAAGGTGATTTCTAGTTAGTTTAATACTTTGGATCATCAATACTGTCCTGTGCTGTATATTTCATTCACTTCATTTTTTCAAGTTAATTTTCACAGCAAACACATGTCCCAAGGTAAATAATATTATCTCCGTTCAACAGACAAGGAAACACAACTAAGACGCTTAAGTTGCCACCCTTTCTCATTTATAACATACATCCAGGATCTGGGATAGACTGTGCTTGAAGAAAGTGAGATTACCAAGTGAGTGGTGGAGAGTTGTACAAGAGCATGCATCCACTGTGTCAAATGTGAAGTGTTTAAAAGGCAAGTCCAAGGGCTATAAACTCTTCTTTATTTTCAGAATCTGAGGGAGGTGGTTTAGAAGAGACTCACAACCTTAAGGAGCAATCTTTTTTTTTAATCCTTAAATGCACCACAGGATGAAATGAAATTTGGTTTCTCTGACCTATAAAATATCAAAAGGTTTCTTATGCCAAAGAAATTTTAGGCTAAAGATGGTGTATGTTCCATTCCCACTGGAAATGTGTAGCTAAAATCAGTAAGAATGGACCTAGACACACCTCAAAGCATTGCAGATGGGACACTGTGGAGCTCAAGGCAGCAGGGAAATCTTATTTCAGGACTCCTAGGAAGTGTTAGCTTTGCTGTTCAGAATTTTAGACGGAACCATTTCCTCTTGTAACAGAAAACTGATCTGCTTTGGTTTTAGGTGGCTTGTAACCCAATGAATAGGAAGTAGGTTGCTTACATTGTTAATTGCTCACATTGTTTCCGGAAGCAGCAACATATTAAGGTGCAATTGTGATTACAATGAATCTCTCTTCCAGTTATGACTATTGTCTGAAAATGTCCACACTTTTAAGATTCCCTTTACTGTATTTTTTTTCCCCCAGATGCACAGAACAAATCAAACTGTACTGGAAATGATGTCATTTTAGTCGTAAAATGAAATGTGCAAAAAGTTCTCCTGGCAAGCCTTTATTTCAGTTGGTATAATCTATTATTCATCAGCCATTTCTAATTCATGTGTTATACAACGCTGTCTCAGGGTGCCATTATATTAATGGAGTATAACATAATTTGCCAATTTCCAAGTTACAGCCTCTGTTTGCATAGTTTCCCTATAACCTATGAGATTCTCTCTCAATGAAGAAAAATCTTTAGCTTCTGATTTTATAGTGAGGTGGTAAGGCAGAGTGGTTAAAAATTCAGGTGCCTGGACACAACTCCTGGCTGCACCATTTATTATTATTAGCAAATTAGACATATTTGTCAGCCTCTTTGAGGTTCAATGTCCTCATCTGAAAAATGGGCCTTGATTTAAGAATTAAATGGTATAGGTTTCTGATTAAAGACAGCAGATTTACCTCTTGAAACTGCACTAGAATGACAAGGAAGTGATTTAAAATGAAAGCCATAATCCCACAGGGCAAAGAGAAGACAAGAGCAACACAATTCTGGAAACCAGTCAGCAGGTGGATGTGTGGCGATGGATCCAGCCTGAGAAAGTCGCTCCTAAGTGGGTATAGAAGACAGCCAGAAAGGTACCCAGTGTGTGCACAGAACATCCCCCAGGGCGCAGGGGCTACCAGTAGAGGATCCATGGAGGTGGGAAGGAAGGTGAGGCTGAAGCACTGATGTAAGAAACGGCTGAAAGAGTTGAAAGTAATTGACACAGGTATGTAGAGTAGCTCTGATTCGGAGGAGATTCCCAGGAGTGAGGAACGACCGAGGTAACCTTTGGTGTGGACCAGAAGCACCTTGTGAGTTACTAAGAACACAGAGCCCAGGGTTGTGGTTGTGGGGCAGGAAGTGGGCCTGGGTCTCTGTTATTTACCACAGCCCTGGTCCAAACAGAACTGGCTTCATAGGAGATGCAGGACTGAGCTGTGATTTCTCCTGTCGTCCATGTCCTTCTTATCTGGAGAGGGAGAATGGAGGCTCCCAGCTGTACCAAAGCAACCCATCAGCCAAAGAATGAGGGAGAGCCACCATCAGGCTGGTCTCTTCAGCATTAGGGATTTTAACCAGCAATTGCAGAAACCTCAGTCCCACTCTGCGTGAACTGTAAGCACATGCAATGTATTCAAAGTAAATGCAATTTACATGACCATAGGGAGTGACATGTATTGTGCCATAATATAATTATGCACTGATGTCAGAGGCAGTCTTTTATTATGTAAAAGAGGAATGACAGTATTTATTTCTAAAATGTAAAAGTTACTTTTAAATGACTTTATAGGGTTATTATGAGAATTAAATAAAAATGCCCTCAAGAGTACTAGTAGACACCTAAAGTGCATCATAGGGGGATTATGAAGGTTCTGTTGAAATAAAAACAAAATAAAACAAACTCAAGCCTTTTCCCCACCAGGTCTTGGGTCCCTCTAGGGTTGATGATCACACAGACTGTGGTTACAGCCCTAGACCACAGAGATGCACATTGCAGCTTCATACCTAGGGGATGGCAGATTCAATCAATGAATAAAGCACAACTAACAGGCACCCAAAGAGAACATGCCATCTTCTTGGATTCAAGGTGAGAAAAAAGCCCCATAAAATTACTGCAAACCTAACAGCTGAGAAGCCAGTTTTAAATGCACGGGGCCTCGAGCACTTAGTTTTTAGAAATCAGGTTTGCACAGGACACCAAGGATGCTGTGAGAACACACTCCAGGCTTAGGAGCAGACCAGGAGCAGCAGAAGAGAGAAAATAAAAGAACGCATGATGATTAGCCAGAGGAAGAGAGCTAGATATTCCCTGAAGAAGAGATCTTGGATGAGAGACAGGGCAACATGAAGGGGAGATGAGATTGTGAAGTCCAGGGAAGATGCTGGACAAGGAGAAAAGGTGCTAGTTCCTGACTTCTCTTCAAGTGGCCTCACCAAAGTGGGGAGACA